GTGGTGGCAGCAAACAAACCAGACCATAAAAATAATTATAACTTATCAATGACTGTGGCTTTTCCCAAAAAGAGAAGGGAACCGAGCCTGAAGCTCGTAGACTTTGTGTCGCCATCGCCAGCCAGATATATATTTATATATACATATATCTTCAGTCAAATAGAGACATATTCCAGCTTGTTTACAAACGTCACGTTGCATGTTGTAAATTGAACAAATACCACTCAACAAAGCTGCAGGGCATTTGCTCCCTCTGAATGCCATATACTAAGCGACATGAATGATTATGGTCTCCATATAACATAGATATATCTATATATATATATATATAAAGCTGATGCTTAATATCTGTGAAAACTTAAGCTTTAACCCACTGACAGGACTTGAACCATTTAGAATTATGTTGAAACTGCTTTTTGAGTTGTTGGCTTCTAGTATCGAACAGGGAAACCGAAAAAAGTCAATAATTACAATACAAATTGCTGTTTGTGTAAATCGGGCCATAAATATTTACGTGCCTAGGTCTACAGGCTGGTAGAGAGAGTACTTTGCGGGCCGTATTGGTTTTGTGGAGGCTATAAAACCGGAGTTTTATTTCAATCTGCCGCCCCTGGGCGTTATATATGGGCCTATCAGCCGAACCATTCGCCCAGCTAAGCAATCGATCTGTGACCCACCATTGCTGTCGATTAGATAAGAGCAACAGCACCACGCAACCTATGTATAGGGGCAACAGGAGGCTCGACCCACCAAACCACCGAACTGCAGTTAAACTCATGAAGGTGGAAGTTCGAAGTGGGTGGTGGAAGGTGTAGTGTTCTATCCACAAGTTACCACCGTCCCGCCTATGCATCCAGATCCCAAACATTGCTTTCATACACAAATATACACACACACACACACGGGCTTTTACTATATAAATACATCTATCGATCTATGAAGAGGCACTAAATCAACAACAACAGCAATGCCGCGTCCAACTGGAGTCAGAGCTATAAATAATTTATTTATAGCTTCGGTGGTGGAATATTGCCACCACACAGAGGTAAAAGTAGAGGCACCAGCACCTCAACGATACTCGTTACCCGTTACCCACACCACCGACTCCTCCTTCAGCTCGACACGGTTGCATCGGGAGACGGATACGGACACGGGGCAATCAGTACGGAATTTTTTTTTGTTTTATTTTGTTGTGCTGATTGCCGATCCGTCGATCTACTGAAGCCGTTCTGCTTTAGTGGCTTGTAGTTGTGGTTGTGGTTGAGGTTTCTCGGCACCGAAAATTACTTTGATAACCGATTGTGTGCGCTGATAGCTGATAGCCATGTTATTATTAAGGGCTATTAAAATTCTGATTGAAAATTCATGTCAAAAAATATATTTTATTACCATTGTAAAATTTCATTTAGGTCTTTTTATTATGTACAATCGTACTGTTTTCGTGCACCTACTTGACCAAATGTAAACATGAATGTGACGGTTTCCTGTCGACTTATAGCCTTAAATATCAATTTGTTCCTTAGGCCGTGTGTCTACACAAAAAAAGGAGCTCAGTCAAAGCTGACAATATGCCGTATACGTAATCTATTGTTGCTGTCTTCAAGTGTAAACTATTTTTGTAACAATGGTGCGACTATTTTATGGCAATCGGAAAAAAAACAACTCAAATAATCACTTAAAAAAATAAAAGACTTAAGTTTAAATATTGAGCGCATTAGTAGCTTTAATCAGAGATATTTATTTTAGGCTCTAAAATGATTACATTATAATACATCATATAATAATCTTGCTTTGAGAATAACCTTAGCTTCCGCTTACTTTTTGCAACGTCTGAAGACTATCTTTGTCTGGAAAATGTGCTTTGTCCTAACCAAAGATTAAAGAAATATTTATTTAATAACTAACTTTAACGCAAGACACTTGAGTAGACTTTCCTGTAGTATAAAGTCGAAAGTATGTTGACCAAGGTAGACCAACAGTGATATTCAATAGTCTAGTTCCTATATGGGTTCCATGTCATAAGAATATTACACCAAAACTTTTTTGTTACAGAGGAAAGTTCACAATTAGACAACAACTAAGTAATGGAAATCAAGCTGGTGGAAGGCACCAGGTCTCAGACGAGACTATATCCATTGGATAGGATTGTCTTGGAATACTCATCAGTCTGGATAGATATTGAACTAGGTATATTCAGTAGCTGATACTGCTCACAATGGTAATGTAAATAATTTATTTATATTACTAAAAACTGTCCACAATGCAAAACAATGGTTTTAGAAAATAAAATACTTACGATTAAATTAAAATTAAAGTTAGAACTCAAATTAGATTATATTAAGAGGGAATATTTAAATTAAAAATGTAAAATAAATTGAGGACATAATAAATCTGTGGATATTAAAGTGTAAAATGATCCAACAATTATTGCAAAATTTCGGAGACCCAGAAAAAAACGAATTAGATCAAAGAATTTGAAACTTAGCGTTTAAGCTTAGTAATTGGCAAAGTAATAAGTTATGAAGGCAGAGATATAGAGTGAGAGAATAAATAAAGAAAATATAGGCAAATCGTTGAACCTGAATGCATCGCCTTAGCCAGTAAAATATACTATAGGGAAACATGTGATCAACTTGGAAGACATAGAAACCGTCAATTCGACAAAGATTCTTACAAGAAATAAGGTTGATCGAAGAGCTATCGGCTCAGAAGGTGGAACATTAGTCCGAATAGATCGCAGTGCATGAAGCCTCTCCCAACAATAAAAACTAAACATCCTGAAACACAAATAACTTACAATTAATACAAACATCCCTTAAATATATACACGTAAGTTCAATATTAAGTCCGTAAGAGTAAGTCAAAATTTTGTAAGAAAATTCTGTAAGATTTGGAAAGTTCCGCACATTCCACAAATTTGTTCACTTGTGATGTGCATTTAATGTGGGAACAAATACATAAAGGGTGCCCCTAAGTAAGCCACAGATTTTCTCTCCTCTTCTGCTGATTGTGTGCTTATGTAAGTAAATGAAGGGCAACCACAAAACATTTCTGTGAAGTTTCTAAACCGATTTTGCGCAGCAAAGCTTCCTCAGCATCATAAATAATTAATTTTGACAAGCATCTAATTTTTAAAAACTCATGCATTTAATTGCGACATTAAAAGCCCGAGTCTGAATACAAATAATGCAGCAAACACTTAAAGCACAAAAAAAAAACTGCCTCCACCCCACATGAAGACCTCGAGACAAGTTTGAATTTGGGCTGGAGACTGGCGACGGGTGACAACTGGCCCCTATAGCATGTGTTTATTCTGTCCCCTACCCAAAATTATGACAAATATTTACAAACACAGCGAGCTAATGCTCCCATTTCAACATGCACATAAATAAGTGTTATGAGCTCCCGTTCCCGCCAATCTTTTCGTCACAGATTTTCTTTTGCTTGCTGCTCTCGGCCCAGATCCCAGACTCGAGACTCGAGACTCGAGAATCCAGCTTGGAGACACAAATACTAAATTACATTAAATATTTGTGTCAGTTTTGGAATCGGGCGCCATCTGCAACACATGGCAACGATTTCAAGAATTACACACTAAATTTAGCATGGGGCTCCAGTCTCGGAGTCCGCTCTGAGTCTTGGCAAGTGGCTCTACTTGCTACTCCTCTGTCATCCGAACCTCATCAGCCCGTTTTGCTTTGCTTTCACAGTTGCTGAAGACTCAATTAGACACTCAGAAATCTGGCTGACAGTGAAAAAACTGACGCGATTCCATTTAATTTCTTCTGTTTAAGTTAATATGGGGCGCAATATTAACATCACTTTTTATAGTGTATTGATCAAAATTTAAGAATTTATAACTTGTTCTTAGCTTAGAACCATTGTTAATTTATCTCTAACTTAGGAGATTTACCTAAAGTGCATTTTATAATGAATAATGTTTAATTTTCATAATAATAAATAATAAATAAGCAACAATTATCGTTCTTGATTGTGCGTATATTAATGTTATACAAATAGAATTTTGTATAAATTAATTTAAAAATAGCTTAAAGTCAGCTTGATTGAGAATGTGATTCAATAAAGATCAACAGAGTTGTTTTTAATAAAGTTGAATAGGCAGGTGCCATTGGCTCTTTCGATTTTCTGCTACCATTCAAAGGATTTGGTGGCAAACTACAATTGAATTGGAATTCGGAGTCGCCGTAAGGGATTGTGTTAAGTGGCAAGTCAAAGTCAAAAAGTTATTGGCGGGGCACTTGAGCAAGGTGCAAGAAAGCACTTGAAATTAGAAAATGGAACGCACTGCGCATTGTGACAAGGGCGATTACAAGACGCTCGTTTGCTGTGGCAAACATGATGGCGATGGAGGATCAAGCAACCAACCAACCCGCAAAAACCAAAGGCGACCAAACGACACACTGCCAGCATATTCCCCACACACACTCTCCGACCCCTTCCCCGTGCACAGGCGAGCCCCTTCCATTTAGTTGCATACCCTTAGCCCGTGAGTGGCGCATTGATTTGAACGAATCAAAGCGGTATGCGCACTAAAAATACCAACAACAAGCACCAAGGCAATGCCAAATCCAGATGAAGCGTGACCAGCTGGAAACTGGGCGTAGCCCAAAATCAACAGGCTGCTCAATGCGTTCGAACAAGACAGGCAATAGTGAGTTGAGTAGCGAGCGCGACAGAACGAGAAAGAGAGAGAGAGAGAGAGAGGGAGAGAACGCGTGCTGTATGCAGCAATGGTGGTGGGCCACATAGCCTTCCAGCTGTGATTCCAACTGGAATGCTCACTCCAGCTATGCATCTCGCTCGCACATGTCAATTGGGTGGCTCTGGTGGTGGGTGTCGCGTCGCTCAAACGCTTATCAAAGCAAAACAAAAAAAAAAGAATCGAAACGAAAAAAAAGAAGAGAGCGCGTGTGTGTGTGAGTCGCAGTCGTAGTTGCTGCTTTCGTCGTCGTCAGTCGCTGTGCTTTGTGGCGCACAGACGGTTCGTTTCGCTGCGGTTGCTCGCTCGTTCGCTCAGAATATAACTGTAACCGCAAAAGAAGTAAAGCCAACGAGTGCGATTGCGAGTATTATCGTTGTTGTTGTTCTTGTTCACGTTGTTGTGTGGCTCTCTCGCACAGCTTCTCGCTGGCGTCGCAGCCGCTGTCGACGTCGACGCTCAACTTGATTTCTTCCAATCTTGGCTGGGAAATCCGATTCGCAACAATTTTGGAATAGACGTCTAATTTGCGTGTGTGTTGCGATAAGAGCAAGTACACCCCACCCCGCCACACCACCCACACTCACACCCATCCACCCACCCTGTCGTTGTGTGAAGCGCAACTCGCTGCTGTCGCTGTCGCTGGCACTGCCACTACCGCTGCCGCCGCCGCCGCCGCCGTCGCTGTTCTGTTCTGTTGTAGTTTCAATCAGCCGCCAGATTCAACTCTCAGTCTCTCAGCCTCAGCTAGCGCCGGCGTCAACTCAGCTGCGTTCCATGGCTTCCACTCAGCGTTGAGCAGCTCCCACGACCAGCGACCGGCCGTGATTAACTTTTACTGTTCTCAGTCAGTCCGCTCGATGACGCCGAACACAACAGTAGCTACCCAGCAGCCCAGCAGCAGCAGCAGAAGCAGCTTGTATGGCGCGAGTGCCGTCTAACAGAATACCAAAAATAAAATAAAAATAAATAAATCTGTTCCGGTTTAGCGTTGTTACCGTTTTCCTAGTCGCGCGTGCAAATCACAATTCCGTAAACGATTCCCATACTCCCTTCCCGTGGCTGCCGATGCCGCCGTCGCGTGTGCAAATTGAAAGATTTTAAAACGTTACCAAATCAAAATTGAAATATTCAAAAATTGCCAAAACCAAAAAAGAAACAAGAAATCAAAGAAAAACTCATCTCATGAACGTTGGCAAGATGCAAGCGCCTGGCCAGCACCAGCATCCGCATCATTTGCTGCATCAGGCTGCATCCGCTGCGCCGCCACCGACGCAACAGCATCATCTGCCCATCGATTATAGTTTGGGCAACTTTAAGCCCGCCATTGCTGCCGATTTTCCCGGCGGCCCCTTTGTCGCCAGCCCCCAGCAGCAGCAGTCATCCTCAGCCTCCTCCACGTCGCCGCCCTCGATTGTCACGTCAAGCGCTTCGCTGCAGGTGCGAGATCTCAGCGCGTTGACCACAATGGCAGCGATACCCTCGCCCACACAGCTGCTCCATCAGCGCATGCAACAGGCCCAAATCACTGTGGATGCCCATCAGCAGCAGCAACACCAACAGCAGCAGCAGCAGCAGCACCACCACCACCACCAACATCAGCAGCATCAACAAATGCCGCCGGCGGCAACATCGCCCCACGATTACGCGCCCATGTCCGCCTTCAAGGCGGTGCTACCCAAAAAGCGAACTTCCGACGGTAAGCAAGAAAAAATCCACTTAATATTATTGATTTTTTTTTAGCTTTGTTGTGTGTTTTAAAGTTTTCTTGCGAAGTGTACAAGGCATTGAACAAGATGTCTCCCATAACATATATATTCTCGATCAGCATTAAAGGCCGTTTCTGTCCGTCTGCTCTCACTTTTGAAAATAAACAGAGCTCGCTCAGTATACTCAAAGCTATCTTGTTGACATTTTGCATGTGTCAGTATTTTTGTTGGGGATTTATAGTATTGATAGATAGTATATATTTTGGAGGCGATCGGTTTTTAGCTGTCGACAATTTTGTTTACGTGTGAAAAACAATTTTTAATCAATCTGAAAAAATGTGCGTGTTATTGTGTTATCCTCATTTGGCTAAAATTTATCATAATATCGCAACAAAAAATAACCTACACAAATATTCATATTCACAGAATATTCACTTCACAGCCAGTCGTGAAACAAGACTTATAAATAAATTTGGCTTAAGGCGTACTCAAACACAACAACATCTTTAAATTGAATGTTATCACAATTCGCATCTATATTTATTATAAGTTCTGAATGTAAAATAGTGTTTTTTATCTGTATAACACCTGGTCTCTTCCCCTTAATTCTTAACAAAATAATTAACAAACTCACACATGACTTCTGATAACAGATCTCATACATCAATGTCTTATACGCAATTTTTAATGTAATACTGATACAGATAAATCGAATATTATTTTGCAAAATTATCATATTATTTATAAATTATCTTATGAATATTAATCTCAATACTCGTAGGTAATCCAGTCAGTGTAATCTTTAAAGCTGAGTCTATCTGAATTTAATATAATGCCATAAATTTAAGTTGCTTAAAGAAAGCTGACTCGACTAAAAGATACATTGTCTCTGATATATGTGCTATACGTGTAGCACCTGGAATTTCAAATGTGATATTATTAGTAAATATCTTATTTTAAAAAAATTTAACCTAGTGAATGCGACGAAAATATAACTTGATTTAAGAAGTCTCTGAGATTTGTTACAAAAATTCCTATTGTATCTTCATTAATTCATCTTGTAGATGCAATAAATCCATTATGATTTTAATACTCAGATTTGTACAATAAACTAAATAAATTTACTCAGAAAGTTTCATTTTTCCCACTTTAAAAATGCCAACAGTTTAATTAAAAAATTTAAAAAATATTTAAATGTTACTTTCTATAAATATATATGATTTCTATTTATACTCACCTAACTATATTTATAAGAAGGATTACAATATCAGGTGTAAATGGCCCAAATTTCTAGATGTTAAGGGCAATATATAACAAACAATTTTGACAATGTGGATTATATGTTGTTAAGGCTTGCGGCACAACTTCATCTGACCCATCTGAGGTAGCAAGTGGGGCAAGGGAAGTCACAGAACGTTTTCCCAAACGCCACATTTCATATTCCCAAGTTAATTAAAAATATTGCCACAGATCTCATACACACAGCTCCACATACACACACACACACACACACACATACTCACATGTACATTCAACTGCCTGCCGCACAGTAGAGGGAAATTTTTAAAAATTATTTGAATAATGTGTGATTTTAAAATATTGCAATTCTGACAATGCCCAACAGCCAACACAGGCAACCAGTCAACCAGTTGGCCAAAAGCCACCAACGTGGCCCAGGACGGTGTCAGTTTAATTGAAAAAAATGCTGTGCGCGCTGGCGAAACGTGAAAAACAGATATGCCAGCGGGTGGGAGGGATGGGCCGGTGGGAGGGGATTGCTGAAAATATTCATTATTCCGTTTGTATGTGTGAGCGTGTGTGTGTGTGTGTCTGTGTGTGTGAGTGTGGCGCTTAATGTGCAAATCTTCTGTGTGGACATGGCGTACAAATGGATATCGGGGATTGAAAAATCCATAGCGAACCACAGATACGGAAACGAGTGCGCACGGACAAACCGAAACGGACAAACTCATAGATACGGATGCTCGACCAGACAGCAGGCATATGGATGAATGTGTATTTATGTGTGTGTGTGTGTGTGTGTGTATCTGACAGTCGCCGTTGTCATCGCCATCGCAGTTGAATTTCAAATATGAGCATTGAATGAATGAATGAGTGTGCAAGCCATGCCCTGAAACCCATATCCACACACACACACACACTCGCACACACACACACACAACCACACACGGATACACATAAAGCCAGCGACAAGCGGATTTCATTTACCGGCATTACATGTATCCAACGGATATGTTTTTAGCTCCACAGCTTGAGCCCAACACAGACATGGATATGCCCCAAACACAAACACACACACAAACACACACACAGATACACACGCACACTCGTGCAGAATTTTCAATTCTGTTTGGAGCGCCACTTTCTTAATTTTTCTACTTTTCCTTTGTTTTTTATTTTTTTATTTTTTTTTTGCTCCACTCTCCGTTTTTCTCTACCATTTTCACATTCTCTATGCGTTTACGTTTCGTGTTGTTGGGGTTTTCCTCAACGCTTTTCGTTTATCTGTTTTCGCTGCTGGTGAAAATGAATTTCGCTTTGTTTGTTGAAATATTTTTTGTAAAATATTGGCAATGCTGCCAGAGCTGCCTTCCTCTTTCCTTCGTTCCCCCATTGCCATTGCTCCAGCGTGCTGGTGACTGATTGGCCACTCCTGTCGAGTTGTCGCCTTTTCGCAACCATCGCCTGGATTTCTTTTGTGCCCGCTCCACTACAAAATGCACCAGTTGGTTACGGAGACATGTGTGCAAAATAAGTATCACAAAAATCTCAACGGCTTCCAAGGAAATGCGATCAATTTCGCTTTAATTTCGCTTGTGCTTTATGCGCTGTTTTGCAAAGTGGCTGAAAATGTGGGTGGAATTTAACATTTTTAAGGTAGCTAGTATTAAGAGGTTTTAGAAGAGTACAGATTATTTATTTATATTTACTTATATTATTTTAAAAAAATAAATTAAAAATTGGCTTACAGACTTGCAGACTAAGCTTAATTCAATTAATACTTAGCATAACCTTGCAATAAAGGTCAAAAATATACAAACAAGCAACTAATTTCCGTCTCGATTTCCCATTAAGCAGAGACAAACAATTAAATTTGTCGCATGCGTCAAGTGGATCAACATCATCTTAAAGTATCTCGTACAGCCGCCCTCAAGCAGTTATCATTCAATTAATGATCGTCGACATAGAAAACTTTGACAATCGGTTGGGTTACCGTAGTGCAAAGTGAGTCACGAATTAAGTTAAATTAAAATTGCCCACGGCTGGCAGACAGTCGCCCCCGACAATGAGACTTAAGCGAGAGACAGAGAGAGAAAGAGCGAGAGAGAGAGAGAGAGAGAGAGAGAGAGTACGCAGCTAGACAATATGAGTCCAGCACGAGTCATTTGGTCAGAGATCAAATGGTCTAATCAGAGAACCTCACGCACTGATTCATATAGGCTAATGATGAGGGAGCAGCGACAGCTGCGCATACTTGCCAAATGATATCAGAGGAATTTGTCCCACTAAAAATATTTTGATATACCAATTATTTATGTAGAGAGATTAGCTATATAAAGTGTTCGTGTTGTAGCGATATAAATTCAATAATAAATTCTTAAGCCATTTTCAATCACACCAAACAATTGAACAGCGATTCGAATCAATTAAAAGCAATCGAAATATCCTATCGAACCTATCGCTCCAGTGCACCCCACCAGAGCTCAAGAGCTCTCTAATCAGCCGAGTGATTGGGTGGATTGTGTGTCCAAGTGGCAATGCGACAACTATCTGGAAAATTTACACATCCCCAAATGTTGTAAATATATAATAACCAAATACGCTACACATTTAACAAAGGGCTTAAGCGACACTTGAGAGCAGCTAACTACCTTTAAAAGATATTAAGCATAACTGATCGAATTTTAAGGTAATATGTATTCTAAATATGTATGACCAACGATGACCAACGTCTTTACAATCTAAAGTGGCTTAGCAATCGCAGTAGAAAAGATTAACTAGTCATTGTTGACACGTGTTTTGATTGTAGGGCATTCGTAGAACAACCCAGGCTAATCAACTATTTATAAATATTGTATTACTCACAAGAGAACACTGAGCAAAATTATCGCTGATTTGATAAACTAAATGTAAATGGCAACAGTTTTGCTTAATTAATTATTATTATTTCTTAATTTCGTCATCTTACTTTAAACAAAATTTAAGATTTTTTATTTACATTTTATATTTAATTTCTTATTTTATTAGATAGATATTTATAGCGAGTAATTGAAAAATGTAGTTGAAATTAAATATCAAAAATTTGCGCTCAGTGTATGGGTATAGGTAGTGCTGGGTACCTTTAGCACTCGTACATTATTGATCAATAACAAATTGTCGCAACGAAAATCAGAGCAATATTTATGAAATATTTATGGCACACGTCGTAATCATTGGCAACTCATCGAATATGCGCTCAACGCCTGTCGTATATCTTTCTAAACTTCTCCCAAGTAGACGAGAATTGGGCATTGTAAATCTATTGAGATATCAAAACAGTCAGCCAGCGTCAATCAATAAGCAATACCAACAATAACAATAACAACAACAACAACAACAGTATCCCTTCTATATCTACAAGATACATTTGCAGCTATGCTAGCTGTTGCTGTCTAAATTGTGTACTCTGTCGTTAATAACTACGCAAACCGCACACGCGTTATGATTTACGATCCGAAGGTAAATAGGTAACGACATCTAAACATGTCAATATCCTCGCCCAGTTGTAAAATTGAAAGAGTAAAAGTATCGTAAAACCAGCGACCGACCGATAAGTACACAACAACAACAACAAGTTCGTTGAGCCGACCGCAAAAAGGAGAGAAAAAATGAAGTAAACTCTTCGCATAGTTGATGCCACATTAAAAGCGTCCACTTTTTTATTTATGACCCGCCTTTATATTTATCCAGTTTATCGACTTTACAATGTTTGACAAAGAAAAATCAATTTCGGTTATGAAAAACCCCTTAAGCTCTACCAACAGGCTCGAGTCACGTTCCACGCTGCCGAAATTGGTACAGATTTACACCAAAAACCGGAAATAATAAATATAACTAAATATCATATATCTATATGAAAAACTACCCACTCCTAATAGAATAAAGGTGTTGAAAAAATCCCCTATGTGTAGAAAACAATTATCAAATCAGAGTATGTTTTGTCGACGTTTCAAATATATCATTAAATTGTTATCACAATCTGAAGCCCCAGTTTATCGTTTCTTCAGCATTTGCGTAGTTTCAACACCTTTATTATTTCAACGTTCGGTGTGAGGTACCGCGATTTGTTGAACCTTTAGATGCCCCATTCGAGCCTCATAAGCGCTACCAGTCGATATCAGGTTATGGCTGTAATATGAACTCGCAGACAGTTTACAACCACAGCCAGAATTGGAACGTTATTAGTTTCATCAACAATTCTACTTTGTACTTACCCAAAACAAAAAAAAAAAACATTTATTTGCTGAAACTAAACTCAAGTGAAACTATGCTTAAAATAGATTGAAACAATGTTGATGGAAAAGAGTATCCATCGTTTTCTGAGTAAGCTCGATAGCGTTTTAATGACTCAATAAATTGAAATAGTGGCCCGCTTCATTATATAGACGCAATTGCGCTTTATATTTCTGTATAGCAGTTGTTACTGATAACTTCTAGCGAAAAAATCACAAAAATATTTAAGCAAATAAAGAAGCTTCTACTGAATATCATAAAATCAAAAAAATAAAGAAAACCAAATAAATGCGATAAATAATATTTAAATTAAATAGGGAAACTTGGTTTATGACTTGGAATTCGACAATCTGTGAGTCGCTTGATTGCCTTTAATTTTTGTTTATTTCTTTTGGGCAGTTGTTGGTTGGTATGAAAAGTGAAAACGTGCTGCGACGACGACTGTCTGAGCGACCACCAATTAAATGTCATTTATCAGCAACAAAGTCTAAAGTTTAGATAGCCTTCTGATTTATTGCCCTGCGATAAGCCAGCTGAGCTGAGCTGATCGAAAGGGGTTCTATGCAAGGGGTAGGGCAACTAGCGGGTAGCAGAAGGTTAGATCGATGGGGTGGAGGAGGGAGAGAGAGAGAGAGGGAGAGGGAGGTAAGGGCTGCAGTCACTGCATTGGCATTGGCATTTACTGTGCGTTTGCCTGATTGATTTGCAGTGTGTAAAAATAAATATGTAATATGTAATTGCGTTTGTGGCTTATTTGCAATCGTTTCGAGACGCTTCAAAGCGCATTCACCGACAGCAGCAACAATTGCTGATTGCGCACCCAACAGCAACATCAACAGCAACTGTTGCGTGGACGCTGAAAATATGTTTGAGTAGGCAATCCACATCTAATGCCGCCTGGAGTGCTGCTGGAGTGGAGCTTATGCCAAAGGATTGACGTATTGATACCCTCTCAAGCAGCTCTCTCTCTCTCTATCTCTCTCTCTTTCTATCATGCTTACCCCCTCCACTCGCACGGCCCTCGTTCAACCTTAATCTGAAACGGAATCGAAATCTCAACGAATTCGTAAATCATGCATCATGTTCAGTCGGCAGCCAGTGACCAAATCATGGCCCTAATCTATCGGCCACAGTTTATGACACCCACTTTTGGCATATCGGACTCAGCTCTATATTTATTACATATATTGTACATTTTTATTCGCTTCGTGTTTTCACTTTGTTTTTTATTCTTCTATTTGCCATATTATTTGCTTTCATATTTGCCGAAAGCAGCTTTTTTATAATATTGTATCAGGTGTAGCCTCTTGCTACTACTGTTCTTCCATTTGATTGATTGGACTTGCTTGACCATTGATATCGTTACTGTTGTTCGATTCCAATCTACAACAAAGCTGTAAATTATGCATCGATCGAATTTGCACAACAACGATCGAGAATGTATATACAGGATATAGATATATTCCATATTATCTATCCTTAGGATATTCAAATCTATCCAAAATGTTTTAGTTTAAAATCCATATCTATCTGGAGTATCCATTTGGAGTACCAAGCATATTTACTATAATTCTCTTATTTTTCAAAGTCCAGTAAACTGATATTTTAGTCTACTTTAGCAGCATAAATTAAAAACTTTAATAATTAGAAATTAGATTACAGCGCATTTTAAATAATTATCACCTACAACACAGAAAAAGAAAACGACCCTGCAGCAAACTCGACACGAAACAATGATAATCCTGCCATAAGCCCATCAATTGATATGGGTGTGGCTGGGGTGCGCAGGGCCAGTGGCAGAGGCAGTGGCAATGCCAATGGCAGGGGTTGTATAAACATGATAACAATGATTTCAATTACCATGCAGTGTCGAATAATTATTTTACCTTTTTGCAGCCAGCCCAAAAATGCTGTGAACAAGTGCGTGGATATTGCGTGAATATTGCTCCCGGGCGTATAAAAACAGATGAACAGCAGAGGGTGGCAGCGAACAGTGGACTGGGGTAGCAGATATCCTGTGCCGGGGGTCGACGGACGACAGACGACGGACGACAAACGACAGACGACGAACGACGGACGAAGGCTATGTCTAATGTGCACAAATTTATGACTTTACTACCGACCATGGATAGAGGACTCAGGATTGGGTGGGTGTGGGCGGTTTGTTGTTGCTACTGCTTCCGATGCGAGTGTCGTCTGTTTACATTGTCAGCCTCCGGGGGCAGCACGAAGCAACTGCCACCCTGTAGACGAGCAATGGGCACATGCTTAAGCTCATTATTATCATTTAAACAAGTCGGCCTACGTGAGCCACCAGAGCCACTTGCCTGTCTTTTGTCCCCTGTTGCCGGGGTTGATTTTAGGCCAAAACGCACTCGCCGGCAATTTTCTGCGTTAAACGTTTCCAATTCTAGTTCAAGCATTTCTCTCATTCAATACTACTCCAAACGTCGCAAATGCCATTTCCTAGATTTCCTCTCTCACTCTCTTTCACTGTCTCATTCTCTCTCTCTCCCTCTCTCCCTCTCGCTATCTCTCTCTCTCTCTCTCTATCTATCTCCAGTGGCAGCGCCCATAACTGGTGGCCATGCGGCTCCAGTGGGTGGTTGCACTCGCGATTCGTTTGGCTCGTTGGGTTTTCTGGTTTTTTGGGTGCTGGGTGGTCAGAGAGCCAGAGCGAAAATGGAAAATGCTCCCGGGACAATTGTGTGCATAATTAGAATAAAGGGTTTTGCAATTGACATTTGCTGTAATGGCGATGATTAAAATTTGCCTGCTTTAAGTTCAGCTGGGGTCGGTTTGCGTTTTATGTGATTGTTTTTTTCTCTCTTACACATTTTTGGGTATGAAATTGGAACACTGAATTTTAAGTTTTATGAATAAATTATACAATTATTCAATGAATAGAAAATATAAGGTTTTTATAATGAAAAACATTTATTCAATATTTTAAAATATATTATTCTTCTTAAGCAATATTTTATCGAGAGATACTTGGTCTTTCAACGGTGCATTTATTTATTATTCATTTGGAGAACTTGATTTTATTTTTGAATATAATTCAAAATGTTATATTTATTAATAATTTGAAGGCAGTCCTTTAGCAAAAATCGTTTCAATTCGACTGATACTCTTACTTCAAGGGTCTTACACCGTTTAGAGCCTTGACCTGGCGTATCTTTTGAAATTTTTTGCTATGATCTGACAAGTATTAGTATTATTCACTCTGCCGTCTGCTTCTGTTTTGTTTCGAGAGCCTCTAGTTGGGAGTGTTCTGTGAAGTGAAGCACTTAAAAACATAGAAAACTAAGCGAGCAACAATAACCGCAACAACAAAGGCAATGCAATAAAAACACTTGACACTTTGACGCCAGAAGGCCGTCGCAACACACCCCACAAATAAGAAAAACGGTTCTGCGTCTGAGTATCTGCAAATGTAAATATATCTATAGCTGTTGCTGTTGCTGTATCTGTATCTGTATCTGTATCTGTCGGATGCGAACTTGCAGCTTAAATGCGCGCATTTCAGTCGGTGTTCGCGTGGGTTTTGTGTTTATATTTATTTGGCTTTGCGTTTGCCGCCTCACTGGCTGCAAGAATCAAAGCAGCATCATCAAAATCCGCCCCTTTTTGCCACAACCCCCTCCTCTTCATCGGCCGTTGCCTTCGCCGTGGCAGTTACTTTTATCTGTGTGGCGAATTAGAATGTTGTCAAATTGTTATTCTTTTGTTGCGATGCGTATTCATTCATTCGATTTGGATTCGCTCAAGCCCCTGCCTGTGCCTTTGCCTCTGCCCCGGCCCCTGCCCCTGCCACTGCCAATGCCTCTGGCCTTACCCCTTTTCCTTTCGCAGTCAACCCACGAGTGTCGCCAGTCGTCGTCCTCATCTATGTGCCTGTTTGTGTGTTTTCTGTTTTGTCATGCTCCATTTAGCCGAGTGTGGACCGAACAGATGTTCTATTTAAACGCACATTATTATTATTCCATTTCGACAGGCGAATCGGAGGCTGCCTTTCGTCTTGTGTGCACCCCACAAAAGTGTCGAAAGCGATATAGAAAGGATAAACCAAAAATACAAACGGGCTCTCAGCTTTAAATATTCTATTCTGATTTGTAGATTTCATAAGACAGTATGTGGAATTGTTTGTAAGGAATAAGACTAATAATAATAAAAATAATAATAATAATAATGCATTGAAGCTTTTTTTTTTTTTTTGGTTATGTATAACTAATCTTTCAAAATTTGTAAATCTTTAAAAGTGTTTTTAAGCACAAACTTAGCAATATATAATATTATATTAATTATTATAGTCGATTATCAAGCTAACAATTTCCGTAAATGACAATTTATCAATATAATTTTAAATCTAAATAGTTTTTCTATTATTATGTTCTTCTTGTAGGGAACTAAATTTGCTTAGCTTAATCACTTTTAAATAAAACGAAATTCCAAAAAAACTTAAATTTATAATTCCAATTCATCTCTGCTTTGCTGATGTAAAAACTACACTTGATTTTTGTCGGGTGGCTAAGGAAGTTACACCCTGGGCGTTATGCTCGGTGACACAGTTGCCTCGACCAATGCTATTGCTGATGATGATGATGATGACGACTACGCGTTGATGTCAAATACGGAACGGGAAAGGCATCGGTAGCACAGTCGAATGCTGCTCCCGTTGCTCTGCGCTTGATTAGGGTGAATTAATGGTCATGTAAGGTGGATTAGGCGATTGAATACAAAAATAATTACATTTGAAATTCGATATGCTGCCAACTGTTAGTGGATGTGTGTGTGCGTGTGTGTGTGGTTGTGTGTAATACAGGTGGTCATGTGTTTGTGTGTGTGTGTGTGATTGATGATGAGCCGCCCTTTGCTCTGATTTTGCTAATAGTTCAATTCCCTTTCATTCTCTTTGCAGATGCGTCGCACCCCTTTAGCATAAGCAGATTGGTCAAGACTGAACACCTGACGGCAATTGTGGCCGCTGCTGGCCTGAAGCCGCCGCCGCCTCTGCCTCTGCCGGCGCACAGCGTCGCCTTGGCGGAGGACAACAACAACTCCATCTCGATGCTGAGCAAGAACCAACAGCAACAGCACGAACCACACAATATTCAGCGTCCCAAGCTGTTGCCTTATTTAAGCGCCAGCGAGCAACTTCGTCAATCGCGCTCCCGATCGAGATCGCGTTCGCGCAGCGCCTCGCACTGCTCCTCGCAGATCGACATGGACGATGCGGATAGCAGTCATGAGCGGTACTCACGGCATTCGCAACGCTCGCTGCACTCGAGATCCCGTTCCCGCTCCAGATCACGATCGCACTCGAGCAGCTCCTCTGTGGAGCTGGAGGTGGACTCGCCACCCGGTAGTCCCAGCATCAGTTCACCCAGTGCCGCCTCTGTTTCCGCATCCGAGCTGCTTATCACGGCCAACAGCAACATCAGCGCCAAGAAATCGGATCTCTTCTCCGTCTCCGCGCTCCTGCGTCGCGATGAACCCACAACACGTCGCGTCCGTAGTCCACCGCTTGGCCTCGCCGGCGCCTCGACTGCTGCGCTGTCAGCGCTGCCCACCAATCCGCTGGAAGTCATGCGCCAGAGCTACCCGCCCAACTACGATGCTGCCATGTTTCAGCGCCCCATCTTCTCACCAGCGCTGCCCTTCTTTGCCGCCATTGCCTTCCACCAGGGTCAGCAGCAGCAACAGCAACAGCAATCCGGACTAGTCACTAGGTAAGCTCAACATATTCAAACTGATAATAATAACTGGAAAGAAATCCCAGTGCTGCTAGCTTTAGCTTATCGAACAATATAATTAATCATCTACATTTAAGATAGTCACAACACCAAATATTCCAATTTAAAAGATTATAAAATTGATAAAAGTTATTTTTATAAATTGCACACATTATAAAAAATATTCGGATTTTATTAACTTTTTGCTATAATTTTCATTATTATTATTAGTAGCAGTAGCATTATTATTATTATTTATATAATTTCCCCACTTTGATTAAACTACTTTCTCATAGATTTCGGAAAATAGTTTTTATTATATTTTGAAAATAAAACATATTTAAAAAATATTGTTTTCTATATATATATTTATATATATTATAAATATTATTATTAGTTTATATTAATTTGTTTGTTTCAGTAAAAGAATTTTATTTTATATATATATAAAAAAAAAAGTATTTTAATAAACATTTCTCATCATAAAAGCTTCTTTCATTTATATTTTTTCATATCATTATTATTTTTTATTTAAATATTCATTCATACTAATTCAATTATAAATATAATATAAATATTTATTTTAAGTTTATTTTTAGTTCAGGTAAATTTCTCACAGTGTATGTGGTGGACTTAAGCACCTGTCCTAATTAAGCAGCCACAATTAACTGCATCATTCTAAGCCCATGCTCTTCTTCTTTTGCGCAGTTACCATCCGGACTCACAGGAAAATCTCTTCCGGCTGCGCAGCCTAATGGTGCCACTGCAATCTGCTGGCCAGAATGGCTCCACAGCGGCAGCGGCGGCGGCGGCGGCGGCAGCAGCAGCGGCTGTTGGTGTGGGCGTGCCACCCGGTGGCGGACATTTGGGTCTGCCACATCCGCCGCATCTGCACTTTCATCACATGGCGGCCAAGTGGCCGGGCCTGCATCAATTTAGCGACCTGTACTCGTGCATGAAGTGCGAGAAAATGTTCTCCACGCCCCATGGACTCGAGGTGCACTCGCGCCGCACCCACCACGGCAAGAAGCCCTACGCCTGTGAGCTATGCAACAAGACCTTCGGCCACGAGGTCAGCCTCAGCCAGCACAGGTATGCAAAGTGTTCCAGCCACAAGCATTTGGCCAAGCCCAGGCCCAGGCCCAGTCCAAAACTGCCCACTTTGCATGCTTAATGAGTGGCCTGTGCAGGGGACAGTTTTGCGTTACTTAATTTAGCTGAAATGTTGGATTTAGTCTGGCCAAATGTTTGCTTTGTGGTCGTATTTAGCATTCAGCAGCCGCTCCAGGGAATTCGAGCTTGGCTTTAATTACACCAAATAGCCGCCAGCTTGTTTTATACCAATGCATACATACATATATACAGAAAAACACATATGTGTATTAGTTGTGTGCTGCATGTCGTCTAACGGTTTTCTTTTTGTGGCACTTTCAGGGCGGTGCACAATGTGGAAAAGGTCTTTGAGTGCAAACAGTGCGGCAAACGCTTTCAAGCGCTCCAGCACCCTCTCCACCCATCTGCTCATCCACAGCGACACGAGGCCTTATCCCTGCAGCTACTGCGGCAAGCGATTCCATCAAAAGAGTGATATGAAGAAGCACACCTACATTCACACCGGTAAGTAAATTACGGCGATCCATACTAAAACACTTAAATATTTATTAAGTGACTTAATATTAGACAGCGAAATTTTAAATATCGAGAAGAAATTAATTTCGAGAGAAATTTGCTTTACTTTGGGTCTGTTACTTGGTATACTCTTAAACAGTTAACTCTATGCGGAATATTTAGGTGTATTTTTCTAATCTCATCTCAAAAAATCACTTAAATTAAGTGAGTTAAATTTCTTTTCTGAGCCGTATTTGGAAAATATAAAAGTTCTCTTAACAAACGCATCTGGAAGATCTAATCGTGCTCTGTTATAGAGTCTGTATTCTAAAACTTCTCAAAACCCATAATTGTAGTATTTATAAAGTAAACTTTAGATGACTTGTCGAATTGTAATTCGTCTTCATTTAAAATATTACAATTAATTATAATTCTTATGGGGATAAAACAAGCTTAACCTCCTTAAACCTAAGGAATGATTTTTTAATAATAACAGCAGACTTTATATTTGTGTGATAAAAAGCTGGTTAGAGAACAGAACAGACTTGAACAAATACACACACATACAGACAGCCATAAATAGACAAGAGATATGCAATTTTTGGAGAATGGCAACGATAAAGGCGAGTGGGGAACATTGCCCGGAAGCGGGCGCCATTAAAGCAGAGGAAAAAACCAACAGCAACACCCAAAGCCACAGTCGCAGTTCCAATTACAGTTACAGTTGACAGAACGGCACGTGCATATAGGAGAAAGGGGGCGGGTAGCGGTTATGGGCAGGGCAAACGATACTGCTCACCATGGAGTTGGCGACGGCGATAGGAAAGCGCAAAAATCAGCTGAAAAGAGCGCCAACTACACAAGCGTGCTCACTCTCCCAAAAATGGTGAGCGAAAGAGAGAAAGAGAGAGAGAGAGAGAGAGAGAGCAGTACCCAAGACATACACACATATGTACAACGGCAACATTTAACTGAACTGATAAGAGGCAGAAATGAGGACCAACATCGACGTCGAGCTATGTACAAAACTTGTGAGAGAGACATTGGAAAGACAACGGCACAGCAACAACTGCAAAATACAAACACACAAACACAAATACTCACACACACACACATAAGCACTCGCACAGCAACAGAGACTACCATAACGCCTTGGCGCGCGAAAGAGAGCGAGAGAGAGGCAGAGAAATCACAGCCGACCAATGAAAAATTTAGTCAAGAGATTTTGATTTTCTGTTTTATACGCGCGCAACACACACGAATAACAAACACGACGCACACATAGACATATGCACTCGCCGGGACGCTGTATGTGTGCGCTTGTGTCTGTGTGTGTGTGTCGGTGTGTGCATATTGCGCATACACCCCTATAACTATAGGAACACAGCTCTGCCAAAAAGTAGCAGCAGCGCTGCCACTGCGCAGTTTTGCGACGCCATTACGCCTCTTTCCTCAAATCGTTCGCACTGGCATCGATTTCTATAGTTTCTTTTTTATCAAACTCATTCCAAGAAATTGCAGGAAACCAAACAACAAACTTTGCCACTCGTGTGCGTAATTCAATATATTTTTAGTTATTTAATAACAATATAATCTTGTTTTCCATTTTTTTATTATTCATTCTTTCAAATGCGGCGGCTTACTTTAAGCATTAATTATATCTCTTAACAACATTTTAAGCTTATTTAAAGCCCTCACTTGTAAGGAGATTTTGGCTTGAATATTAAAATTAATATTCATATTATTTAATATTATTATTCAATCTCTTCTTATATAGTTGAACCTTCTCCATAACCCTTTTATTCATTAAAGATAATTTCATCCTTTAGCATCCTTTCCTTTCATCAAACGCAATTTTTGATTTTCACAATATGCATTCCCGAAATTTATATTAAAAATCTTAATTTGTTCATTTTATAAATCATAATATTTTATAACATATGCATCAAAACAACCGGCTCCTTTCCAAACCTCTGATTCATGCGTCAAACTGCAGCAATTTTATTTGCAACATTCCAACATTTTATTAGAGCATTAAAATATATATATATATTTTTTGTGAATCCTTCTCTGTGTTGCCCTGAAATCAGTTTGCAAATTGCAAAGATAATAACCTCCTAATAAGCAGCCCCAAGCTCAGACCCCATCTGGCCACACCCACCAACCCCGTCGCCCGGTTCGCAACCCCCGCAGACGCGCTTCGCACTCGTTTTAAGCGAGCGTCTGGCCAAATCAGTGGAAAGCGACTCCGCACACATACAAACGCAAATATTTCAGACATTTTTATCGTTTGGCGTCTTCGATTTAGGACGTATTCCCCACAACCCCCACTTCAGTCTGCTTCTTGTTGCTTTCCCTGTTAACGCACACATGTGGCAAGGTATACGATTACGGATCCTTAATGTCTCGGGATTTATTTCCGACTCTGGCTTAGTTTGCTTGGTTCCTCTACGCTTCTTGTCCAACTTCTGTGCGTGCTCCTCTTTACGACCATCCTTAATTTTTTCACATTTTCTCTTCATACTTCTCAGTTCTTTGTTTTTTTTCCGTGCTTGTGCCAAGTGTTTCTATTGCTAGCAATAACCAAGGCAGCAGATTTTTCCACACCGAAGTGATTTGCCTCAACATTTCCTTGTCTTTACTTTTTTCCCGATTTTTTCTTTTTTTCACATTGGGCTACGTTTTTATATCCGTTTTGTGTTTAGCTCGCATTTCATTTTTTATTTTCCTGCCCCAGATTTTTTGTTCCTAAATTTATGCACCATAAAAGCGAAGCAAATAAATTTGTTATATATGTGTATGTGTGTGTGTATGTGTGTAGCTTGTTTACTTATTCATGAGTTTCATTTCGATCTGAAATTTAAAGTCACCTCCACATTCGGAGTTTCAAAAAAATCGATAGCTTAAAGCTCGAATAATTTTTAAATTTAGGTCTTCAACAGACTCTTGCATCGACTAATAATAATATGAAGAAAATTCAAATACATTTGTATAATTAAATTGAGTTGTGGAATTTACACAAAGTAGTGACTAAAATATGTACATATATCATTGTATTTCATAATTTACATTTCTGTTTTACACATTCCTCTTTCATTTCTGCTGCTCAAATATTGAACTGTACTAAAGTCCTTAAACGCAAATCAAATCTCAAAGCAAATACCAAAAATATTAAACGGATTCGGTGTGTTGCGTTTAAGACTCGAATTATTCTGGTTTTGTTACATTTTGTGTCTGACCCTCGCTGCGTATACGTTATTTTTATTCGAGTTGAAGAAGCGAACACGAAATGCTAAAAGGCATTGCAAAGCGAAATATAAAACGTGTTGAATTGAAAGGATTTGCCAAGTATCCTTCTAATACACACACTCAAACATACACATAAGCAGACAGACATAAAATATTAGAAGAGTAAAAGAAAAAGCAACGCAGAAGCAAGCAAAGATTTAAAAGAATTTCCACAATGTGATGCAATAAAAATCCTTGAAATCAGTACATACAAAAACTGGAACCCCCTCCAGTCTCCCTCCCCCCTCACAGCTAAACAAAAAACCCAATTTTCATGCGCCCCCAAACTTTCCCATAAGCACACAACGCCCAGGCTCTATATATATTCCTGACTTGGGACAACAACTGAGAGTGTTAGTTAGAGCAGCCAGGCAGCTAACCAGAGATACCCCCAGCCCCAGACTCCACTCCCAGCTTTGAGCACGGAGATATACAGCAACAGCAGCGGGAGCAGCTCCCACATTGCGAACTGCCGACGGCCGACGGGATTTGGATTTGGGTCTCGTTAGTGTTCGTTGCTCGTTTGCCGTGATAAATAATAAAAGCTGCTCTATAATCTCTGCGACTACGTGACGTTATTTGTGCCGATAGTGCACGAACGTGCCCCGAGCCAAGCATCTCGCTCCTGAACCCAGTAAACCCTTCAGCTTCAGCTCCAGCTCCAGCTACACAGGCAGGGCATGCTCCGTAAGGACGAGCACTCATCGAGTAGACGAGAACTCGCTGCAGAGAGCTACGACTACGACTACTACTACTAACAACAACAACAATAACAACAACAACAACAACAGCATGACTACTCAATTTTTTACTACTTGCTGCTACAGCTGCGCCTGCTGCTGCTGCTGCTGCTTCTGCTTAAGCACAAGCAGCGTTTTCGACTCCTGCCGCGGGAGCTAAAGTTGAATCAGAGCACATCCCAACGGTCGAATGTTTCAGAATCACGTCGCTGCAATTGCATTATATACTTACAACGACTGCCTCCCCTTCTCTTATATATATATATATATATATATATATATGTATATATTTGTATGTATATAGCAGTATATGAAGCTGAACTGTCACGTGTATGTGTGTGTGTGCGCATGTTATTTGTGTGCGTGTGTTTACTTTATATATATACGTACGCACACACACACACACACACACACATACATTGCTCATTGTTCGTTTCCCCTGTGCTCCAAGTTGGAGCGCTCACAAATTTAACTCAAGTTAGCATTTTGTCGTTGCTTTGTTGCCATATGTATGTGTGTGTGTGTGTGTGTGTGTGTGTGTGTGTGTATATAGACACGTTGTTAGTTCTGTGACATTATCTCTGCTGGGCAAAGTGCAAAGGTTCCATTGATAAGCGCCCATTTTTGCTACCATTGAAACTATCATCACAAAGTAGACAACCTGGTCAAATGATATGTGGCTTGACTTATAGGCAGTCAGAGCAGAGGCATATGTAATGATTTCCAAACAAAACAATACTTAACTCATATAAATGCACTGTTTCCAGCTGTGGCTCTAATTATTGGCGATAACAATATCGTTGATATTCATTTGCAAATATTAAATTATTTGTATACATAGAAATGCTTAAGCAACACAGCCATTTTTAAACATAGAAAAATTATTTAGCTAAAATTAAATCTATTTACATATATTCATATATTATTAGTATATATATATATTTATTTATTTACTATCAAATGCAAATCCTTCAACTACACATGCAATATTTATATTTGTACAAGTTACAAGTTCAAGTTCAATACAAAACAGATTAGACAAACACAGATGCAGACGATTAAAAAGCAGACCTCTCATTATTTCCACTCTGATAACTGCGAATCAAATCAAAACTCAGTGAAATCTTGATAGCATTTGGCGCCGTCGAGCCACAAAAGAGGAAAGCAAAAGAAAGCACTTGGAATGCAAAAGAACAAGGGAACAAATCTCTAATGAAAAATTAAACAGTATGAAAATGTACCATAAATGAAATACATAAAAGAAAACATCAGAATAGAAGTAAAAGCCAGTAAAAATGCTTTAAACTGCCAGTTGAAATACTTTTAAGTATTTTGGACATTATGTGGGATGCCTTTAAGTGCTCAACCGCAAAACACCACACAGATGAACCAAAAAAAAAAAAGAAGTTAAATTTTAAAAACTCAGCAAGCGACGGGGAAAATGGGGGACAGTGCTGAGGTGGAGGGTGTCGATGCGGTTGCCAGCGACGACGCCATTGCTGGCATACGGAGCAGATGACGATGACTTACAAGGGAAGCAAGGGATAGGGGGCATTGGGGGGTGAGCAGTCGAGCTTCGTCTGACTCAGACATTTTGGGGGTTGGTTGTGAAAGCGTCTCTGTGTGGGTGGTTTTCGCTATTTCCTTTTTATTTTGGGCCATGAAAGCAAAGCTCGTCTGCTCGTCGCTGCCTAAAATGGCGTGCACTGCTTGCAAGCACAATATAAATGCAAAATGCAAAATGCAAACGCCTATCGATTTTTAGTTTTAACAACCTTTCTCTCTCTCTCTCCCTCTCTCTCTCTCTGTGTATTTTCAGGTGAGAAACCGCACAAGTGCCAGGTGTGTGGAAAGGCTTTTAGCCAGAGCTCCAACCTGATAACGCATTCACGCAAGCATACCGGCTACAAGCCATTCTCCTGCAAGCTGTGCCACAAGTCCTTCCAGCGCAAGGTGGATCTGCGACGTCACAAGGAGACACAGCACACAGATCTGCGCGTCCATCTCGGCAAGGTGGACTTCATGTCTGCCGCAGCGGCAGCCGCAGCCGTTGCCGAACTGAATGGAGCTCCGGGTGCTGGCATGAGTATGTCAGCTGGTGGTGCAGCACCACAAACCGGTACAGGAGCGCCCGTAAGTGCCACCACGCCGGTCAACTCGATGAATTGCCAAAAGGTATCACTGCTGGCATAACATCAGCAGCCAGTATCAGTTCCAGTCGCAGTTGCAGTTGCAGTACCGCCTACCCCCCCATTCCCATTCACTCGGAACAATTGTGCAATAGCTGCCGAGTTAAATGTTCGGCATGCATTTCCACACGTTGAAAATAGATGTTAATGAAATTTGAATAGTTTAAGCCGACAAAAAAGCAAAAAACCAAACCAAAAAGAAATTTCCATTGTTGCCAAAATAAATAAAAAGATTAAATTGATACACATACTGTACTACTCTATACCAAAGAAACAAAGCTAACAGTTAAACCAAAATAAAATAATATAAAAAAAGAACAATCTTAAGCTCTCTCCATCTCTCTCTCTCTCTCTCTCTCTGTAATTCTCAGCACACATCTAAGTAACAAACACACGTTCTCAAAAAATCAAAAATATAAAAATGGAAATTTCCACAAAATAGTTTTTTTGTAAATTATATATGTATGTTCGATATGTCTGTGTGTGTGTTTGTATGATTGTGTTTCGATTAAAGTGCATGGAATTCGTTCAAGAAGAAATATGTATGTACATCTTCTTAGCTGCTAATTTAAAAAATACCAAAACAAGAAATAAACATTTTAAAATCAAATCAGAAGCCATGAATCGTGCGTGTACTATTTGTAAAATGTAATTAAAAACAAAAAAAAAAACAAATATTTAAAATAATAATATAAAACAAAAAACATGTTCCAATTTTTCGCTTCTAGATAGTTGTGAAATTTTAAAACGCTGTACCATGCAAATATTTTGATATTATATCATTCCAATGAATTTAGTCTAATTAATAAATTTTTAACTTATTTATACATATGTGTGTGTATGTATGTAAAAATATACTAGCAGAAAACCAAATGCTAAATTAATATATTTTCTTTTTAATGTTCAACAAATAACAAACAAAAAGCATCAAAAAAATCTAATATACGTTCTAAGTATTTTTATGTTTTCCAATAAATTAAATTTATTAAGCAATTAAACCAATAACATTTTGTATTATTTAATTAAAAACTGTGGGGTTGCAATTAAAGATTACTTCTTGAAAATCAGAATCAAATAAACAAGTTTGCAGAAACAATTTCCAAATTGTTTTCATAACCAAAATAATTCTGTACTGAGAGTGTAGCAATTCTTTTATTTATATTTATGAATAATAATATTATTATTATTATGATAATTATTATTTGCGGGCTCAAAATAGTTAATTAAAAAAATACTTTAATCAATACATAATCAAACACAACTCGAAAAAAACTACGACAAATGTTTTTTATGGAATATATCCCCTAATTGAATCCTCAAATTATTAAAGTGATTTTAATTGGGTAGAAAATTATTATTTGTGGGCTACACATATTTAATTTAATAAAATACTTTTATGAAAAACTTAAATGACTAATCAAACACAAAAGGAATAAATTTTGATTAAATAAATCACCTAATTGAATCCTTACGTTATTAAAGAGATTGTATTTGGGTATATCAATTTTTAATTATTATAAAAACCCCAAAAAAAAAAAGATAAAACCCCTTAGCAGAAACTTTGAATATGAAATATATTCATACCGCATAATAGTAGCTGAAAATCAAACTGTCAGTGAGAGGGTTACATATTTATTAGAAGGGCTCCTTTTTTTGGCACTCATGACACCTGCCTGGCAACTGACAGTGCCATTGTCGAAGAATGTGACAGTGTAGCGAATTGAAAGTATTCGAATGAATACAAGCACGATAAATGTCGAATACTCGTTGAATATTCAAACTTCTTACAAGCGAGCATATGATTAAAGAGTCATAAGTGGAGGGCAGCCTTCTGAATGGCTCTCGTATTCCCCAAAGTGTCCGACGCTGGTTATCGAATATCACGTACGAGACGAGGGTAAATGTTTTCTCCGTGTCGCACTCGTTCTAAACAAATTTGACAATAAAAAATAATAATGTTGAATTGCGCATATTCCCAAGTTTGCAATTTGCACAGCAGTCAAAGGAGCAACTTGTCTACTTTTGCAAATGGAGTCGGAGCGAAACCAATTTCATCAATAAAAAATATTTGTCTACCTTGCAACACGTGTGTGAACGAAACGGCTTACTCTACTTTTTATAAATGTATACCCTGTATGGGTTAAAGTGGATAGGACGTGTATGAAATAGTTGGGAAAACTGATGTAAAAACCAATAAATGTAGACTCGATATAATAAGGATAGCACATTCTTGTTGCATATGAATACGAATATTCCGAGTATGCTTGGAGCCTGTCTATATGGCATTCTTAAGTCGAGCATGCTCAACTTCAGCATTTAAAATTCATGAGTTTTACATATGACATTTTTAGTTTTTCGCTTAGATTGGAGAGGGAAGCCCTCTGGCCCTGTGACTGAGTGAGTCTTCACGAACTATTGCGCTGTGGTCTCATAAATATGTATTTGAACCAGCAGCATTTTGGGGATTGATAGATTTATGCATATGTCAACGAGAATTAGAGACTTTGCGCAACTCATTACCCGCAATTACCACAGGCAACAATAAAAATTAATAGAAATCGAAGAGCAAGCAAATCGAACGTTAATTTATGCAATGATCGATAACATCCTGCGATTTAATCAACAAACGTTTGCCGATCGATCGACTCGACCTAAAGCAAAGCCAATGCCGAGTCGATGACCGACCGACGGGTGTAGGTGATCGTAAAACATTGATCAATCAATCTTAAACGATCCGAAGTCTCGAATTGACTACCAAACCAGAAATCAGCAACTTCCGTCCATGTTCCACGTCCATGTTCTCCATTGCCTCTGCTTGTTGCTGTTGATCGAGTGCCATTCTACAAGATACAAATACAACAATGTATATACTGGCTGTGTTTTACGAGTAATGTGCTATAAAATAAAAAGCCAAAGCCCTCTCGTTGCCATGCGGGCTCTTTGAACGAATTAAGCGCAATTAGCGAAGGTACTCTTTGAGAGGGGGTTGCGGAGATTGGACTTGGAGAGGGAGCAGGATCAGCGCTCAATGCGGAACCTCGACACGCAACTTGTATGATTTAAGGTCGCCTCATGTTTTAAAGTCATTGTCAAAGATCGTGTAATGGGCGCAACATCTGCACCATTACACTGAATACTTACTTGGGATTATTATCCCAAGGCGTTCTTAATGCGAATTTATTGCCGCCATCATTATATGGCGCCCAGACATGAAGATCATTTGTAGAGATGACTCAAGACTTTTTCCAACAACTTTGCACCCTTTTAGTAGTCAATTCTGCTGGTGCACCAATTCGAGGGTAGCTCAGTCACAGATAAGACAATGGATATTAATTAAATTTCATTGTTAAAATAAGTGTTAATGAACCAAAAATTGTTCGGCAAGGTATGTACATATGTACATACTTATATAAGTGTGTAATAATAATCATGGAATGAGCATGAGAATGTTAAAGATTAACCTCCTCGATTTAATTTCAACTCGTTCTTTGTTCAGGAATTTAAGAAACAAAGCACGCTTGGAAATCTCTCGATTGTAGTTCAAGCAGATATTCAAATTTTAAATGAAATCATATTAATAATTCTAATAAACTTTAATGTTTAAGTCAAAAAGTTCTTTGCAATTATTTTCAAAGAAATCGCCAAGACTTGTGTATATTAAATTGTTTTCAAACCATTTAAAAACTTCACTATTTTGACTCCTATATATCCTCTAAGTCCTTTGCTATTTGTCTTTAAGTAGAGATTCTCAGCGTCCTTCCTGGCACCAATAGAAATAATAATTATTTGAATATTTATTGATTAAATTCAAAAATATAATTTCTTGCATATTCTCATTTTATTAATATAAAGAAGAACAAGTCTTTGTTAACACAATTGAAATGTATATTTGTGGAAAGTCAAAATCTATGATAAATCTGCAACAATATCCCTGCACTTGACCAGTACACATGTGCCCCATAGATGTGGCAGAAGTAGAATGCAGAAGCAGAAGCAGAAGCGACACAGTTGTGACATATTCCCGGCACTTAATGACAATTGCATTTTTATTACACAAACAGTCGACGAAATGTTTATTAATGGCCCGAACATAAAGGCATCATGACCTCCGCCATGGCAATCAGCTGCAGCTTAAATTGATTTCACTCCCATGTATCTGTATCTGTATCTGTAAATGTTGTTACAATGCATACGCTGCACCTGCTGACAATTTCAAGTGCATGCGAAAGAAAGAACAACACGCACAACTGGGGAAATTCGTAAAATCGCCCCCGCCTACCCGCGGCAAACAGCCACCCTCCGCCCTGCCTACGGCCGTAAACCACATCGAACCGCAATAGTAATTTACGGATGCGCAACATCAGGCAGCTTCCCAAACTAATCGCACGCTCAGCGGGGCAAAAATCAACAAAGTGTCGGCGACTCGCTCTCTCGCTCTCTCTCTCTCTCCAACTCTCTGCCTCTCCCTCTCTCCTCTCTCTCTCTCTCCTTCTCTTTGTTGCTTTTGTTTGGGTGGTTGTTGCTCTGCTTGTTGCCAATTGAACGTCTCAATTGTTGCAATACTGTTGCCATATAATACAATGCGGCTGCGAAGTCGTGCTGCGTGATTACACAAGAACAAAGTGCCAGTTCCCGTTTCAATTCCAGTTGCCAAACAAACAAATGGCACACAAACACACACGCCTCACATCTCACACCCCTCCCAAAGCTGCGGGGCCAGCAATCCCACTGGACTAATTCAAGTGTAACCCCTTGTTATCCCACTGGCAATCCTGCACCCCTGCACCCAGCAGCCTTTTGATGGCAGACGAAAGCGCAACGCTCGACAATTGAGCAGTTAAATATTTTGGTGTCATAAGTCGGCATTAGATCTCCTCTCCACCCTCTCCTCCTACACCCCCCCCCCCCCCCTTTCTCTCTTTTCATAATGCAAACTGAAAATTGATTTTAAGCCTGCATTATATATACACTATTTTATTTACATTATTTTAAATACTCTTCAAAATCTGTTAAATATTATGATCTGCACTAGGTAAAATAGATTCAGATACCATTTTATAATTGTTACTAAATCTTAAATGGTTAATGGATGTACAATTCCGTATGGTAAAAATTTTTCTACTGATAAAACTTTGTCAAAACTGAACCGATACCCATAAGAAATTTATCATTGATTTTAAATTGAAAAAATTC